TAGCACAGACTTCTCGTCCGCGTGTCCATCGGTCCCGGCTTCGAGATACGAGATTCGACTGTCCAAGGGAGGGAACGCCTCTGGAAAGCTCCACATCATGAAAATGGATTTACGCGGCACCACCACCCAACCTTTCCTCAACTGTTTGCCGACAATTCGCTCGAACGCCGAGCTCATCGTCACTGCCTCCTTTCCCCAGCCAACGATATGCAAATTATGTTTCAGCCTGTATTTAACGCCTTTGATCGACAAAATTGATCGACCGTCGTACTTGATTTTCTCCGGCGTTATCACCGACGTGTACACGCACCTGATACCAGTCTCGATAATTTGCCTCAAGTCGTTGCGAATCTGCGGCGAAATGTAAATTCATATAACGTTCTGTTAAACGTGAGTTTCATCGTCGTTTGAGGTCTGATTTTACGAGACGACGATTTAACAAGCTCGAAACCTGTAACATGATCTTCTCGCCCCCTATTTTCTGGCCATCCCTAATCGCTTTCTGTCTCTCCCTCTCTTCTTTATCGAAACGTGCGTTTTGTATGAGTATCTTGTTCTTTCTCCTATTTTCCAACGAAAGCCTGATCCTGTCTATTACCTTTTGTCTTTTCGCTTCCACCGCTGCGATTCTTTTGGCCCTTTCCTCTTCGACAAAAGGATCGACATATCGTAACTTCCGTTTCCTTGGTTTTCGTAGTTTTGGTGATTTTGGTTTGGCTGCCATTTTTATTGTCGAGATTTATATTGTATCGCCATGTTTATTATAGGACACTGTTACACTGCGACTGAACTTTATCGCAACTACATTTTAGAAATGTTACGCTTTTGGTTAATTTCGTGGTATTAGGTTATTGAAAGTCCATCTCAATGAAATTAGCTACTATCCGTGAATAAAGTCGAAACTAAGTTTCAACTATCGACGAACGATAGACCTGACGCGTGTCATTCAACGGTTTCTTACGTCCTCTGCAATTTATTGCGGCGAACGCGGGAAGCACATTCTCACACAGCTCAATCGATACGGTGCGAAGGCACTTCGTCTGTATCCACAGACGAAGTTACCGACCTTGTAAAACTTTAATGTTTGTAAAACGATACCAAGAACTACGCAACCTAGTACAATTTGGACTGTGCCGTGAGATTTCGCAGAGATGCGATCGTGAAATCCGTGCGTTTTATTATTAAGTTGCGTCTGTTTAGTTTTAATTAATCTGCTAATTCACTGTGCTAAGCACATTCTATATTCTAGAATGTTACGCTTATCGCTATAATGCAAGTGATACAACTTTTTTTTTTAAATATGTGAAATATTTTAAACTGTTTTTACTCAATAGCATAACAAATCGACAAGATAACAAACTTGTTTATACACTCCACGCAAGACAATTTTGTTTAATGGTAATTAATATCGTTTTTTTAAGAGAAATTCTGGAAAACCGTCGTGAATTTATTATTTTATTATCATATATTATTTTAGCATATCCCTCGAACGTTAAGTCCCTACCAAGTATTTTAGGAGAAAAGCGAAAGTTTCAACAATAAATAAAAATAAATTTACCCCCAATCAATTAAACAATCAAATATTCAAGTCGGATATTTTAATTGTCAATCAGAAATCGTTACACTGATTTCATCAATCAAATAAATCAATCAAATAAATCAATAAACCAATGTAACTGTAAAGATTTGCTAGAGTACGAAAATTCATATTTTTCTAAAATAAAATTAGAGAAATAGAATTTAAGCAGAAATTTGATTTCAGTCATTTTATAACGAGCATTCTGTTTTGAATATTTCATAGAATTTTCTGTATTTAGTGCATTCTACGTACAATTTTCTTTTGTTGATGTGAAAAAAGATTGTGAAATAAATTTAATAAGATGTATTTAATTACCATTAACAGGATCCAGGCATCATTCCCTTTAGATTTCACAATCCATGTTATTCCATCTTTTATCCATCCACATGAATCCATTGATAAATCTGTAACATACTTATTTGTTGAATTATTAGTTTAAAAAACTTAACACAAAAATTCCACACCACTAAAACAGTCCCGACATTTGGAAAAAAAAGCAAATGAATGAGCCAGAAGGACTAGACTATTAAAAGGGAAACTGCCAGACAATAGCCAGAAGGGCTATTAAGAAACAAGCATTTTCTACTCAACAATACAAATACAAGGTTACGAATTCAAGGAACAAACTGTATCTTGTTTCGCAACACTAATTCACTAACATTAATTGCGAAAAAGGGAATTTTCAAAATCAAACGCGGAGAGTGCTTCGTCATGTTTCAAGCTCCCGAAAATATGAACGAAACGCTATTAAACTATGCACTTGTGTTTAAAAATGCGTAACACTAACAGCTCTTGTAGCTGCATCAAGTGATTCAGAAGCAGAAGCAGACTTCCACGAATCTAATGGAAGAATTTGGGCATTTTGTAAACGCAACGCTACTTTAAGAAACGCGATCGTTCATTATCGCAACACTAAGAGAAAAACTAATTGGAACAATATTATTATCGTAATACTAAGAGTAAAAGTAACTGGAAATCGCGATGAAATAATATCGCAACACTAACTCTAAAATTAAATTCAGTGAAAATTACGATGAACAATATAAAACTGAGCCAAACAGAAAGCCAGTTCAAATATTCCAACACTATTAATTAATCTAAACAAAATTAATTAATCTAAAGCAATGACTCAATAATTTAATTTAAAACAATAAAAAGCAAGATAAAAATTCAAATCAAAATGCAAAAGACAATTCGCGACTCTAAAGCAAACACGATTGTTATTTCTTCGCAACGCTAATTTAAACCGTGATCAATCTTTCGCAACACTAACAAGAAAAACCGCGCAAATTTGCCCAAAACTATGATGAACGATGATAGAGAAGAAAAAAAAAAAAACAACTACAAATACTAAAAGAGCATAGTGACAAAGTAGTAACGAGAATGACTTCCCGTGCTTTGGAATCATTTAAATGATCCAGAGGATGAGAAGCCATTTGTTGTGACCCTCTTCGTGGCAATTTGCCGGGCCTCTTCGGCTTTTAGCCTCTTCTTTCTTCGAGCGCAATGCCCGCTAAAACTTACATTTAGCTCGAGTCTTTCTAATCGCAACATAAAAAAATAATATATAAATCGCGAAAGCTGACCTCAATGCACATGGACGACCATCGATCATAGTGATCGTTGTCCGTTCGCACGTGCGTGCTCGAGCAATACCTACATAAACGTTCGTTTCGGGACCTA